GTGATTATATAACAGCCGTGGTGGCGCAGTGGTCAGAATGTAGTATTGCAGGCTGATTCTGCCGAGTGTCAGCAGTTCAATTCTCACCAGGCTCAAGGTTGACTCAGCCTTCCATCCTTCCGAGGTCGGTAAAATGAGGACCCAGATTGTTGGGGGCAAGATGCTGACTCCGTAAACTGCTTAGAGAGGGCTGTAAAGCACTATAAAGCGGTATATAAATCTAAGTGCTAGTGCTATTATTCAGTAAGTAAATTAAACGATGGTTTAATTTAATTGATGGTTTAATCGGGTTACCCTGTTGCAAACTTTAGGATCCCCTCAGTCCCTTTATATTCATACTACAGGCAGTCCTTGACTTACAACCATTTTCAGTGCTGACTTACAGCAACACTGAGAAAGTGGCTTACAACCTACAATCGGTCTTCCTACTTATGATCGTTACAGCATTCCACAGAGTCACATGATCAAAATTCAGGTGCCTGGCATCTGGCATGTATTTGTGCCAGGCGCATGTGACCTCCATGTGACCTTCCCAGCCACCTTCCAACGAGTCAATGCGAGATTCGCTTCATGGGAATGGCCTTTTATTCCTGAGTTCATGGCATAGTTTCTGCAATTCAAACTAAGATGCAAAAACAGGGGGCCGCGATGGCTTAAGTCACTGAGCTTGATAGATGGAGAGCTGACAGCCCAGGTTTGAGACCCAAGTGCTGCGCGATGGGGTGAGCTCCCGTTCCTTGCTCCAGCTCCTTCCCACCTAGCAGTTCGAAAGCATGCAAATGCGAGTAGAAAAATAGGTAGCACTTTGGTGGGAAGGTAACAGTGTTCCATCCGCCTTTGATATATAGTCATGTTGGCCACATGACTGCGGAAACGTCTTTGGACAGGGCTGGCTCCCACGGTTAACAAACTGAGATAAGTAGGGCTAGATAGGGAAACCTTTGCCTTTATAGAAACATAGTTCACAATGCTTTTTCTTTTAATGCCGAACATTTCAGACTTTACAAAATAGATACCTGGAACTTCTTTTCTTGCGAACTGCCCTCTTTGTACATTTTTCACAATTCTCCATCGATGCAAGAAAGGAGGAAGGGATGGATGATTAAGTTTCTACTACAGTCTTGGGGTGAGGCTAAAACATTGCTGTTTCAGCTTGCAGTTTGGTGTGTCCCAGATACCTAGTTGGCTTGCAATCCATGTGTTGCACAAATCCAGAAAATTGATAAACCCGATTTCGGCCAGCCATCACGTGGATTGTTCACTTGCCAGTCCCACACAGCTACACCCCTACAAAAATACAAAGGATGCTGATTGCCATTGTGTGAATGACTATATCAAAGGGTGATTATGCTACATGGGTTTCAAAAACATGCTAATCTTTTATTCAGATGGGGGGGAAACCCCCCCCCTCTGTGTGTGTGTGTGTGTGTGTGTGTGTGTGTGTGTGTGTGTGTATGTATGATATTTTTGTAATCAGAGTTTTTTTCCTATGTAGAAAGTTGTTAAATGGCCATGGTGGGATGAAATCTCCAATCATCACTTTCAGGCCTGTCAGACATTTTCTGTTGTTTATTCTGAGACTTATGGGAGACTGGGATAGCACTATTTTGGTTTTTTTGAACCTCTTCAGCCAGCCACACCATATTTTATGACTCCTCCCTGTAAAGGTCAAATATTTATACTTTTTAATTCATAGGTTTAAATGTATTATATTTTTGTAATCAGGGGTTTTTTTCCTATGTAGATAAAGTTGTTAAATGGCCATGGTGGGATGAAATCTCACCTATGAAATTAAACCTATGAATTAAAAAAGTATAAATATTTGACCTTTACAGGGAGGAGTCATAAAATATGGGTGTGGCTGGCTGAAGAGGTTCAAAAAAACCAAAATAGTGCTATCCCAGTCTCCCATAAGTCTCAGAATAAACAACAGAAAATGTCTGACAGGCCTGAAAGTGATGATTGGAGATGTCATCCCACCATGGCCATTTAACAACTTTATCTACATAGGGAAAAAAACCCTGATTACAAAAATATCATACATTTAAACCTATGAATTAAAAAGTATATATATGTATATATATATGTATATATGTATGTATATATATATATATATGTATGTATGTATGTATGTATGTATATATATAATATATATATATATCCCATATGTAACTCACAATATTGCAATTCACCAACGCAATTGTATTTACACAGGGAATAATAGTATCTAATCTCCCTAATCAATGTATGCCAGAGTTCTTGAGAACTCCAATATGTTAAATGCTTAAAAGCATCCAATCTTTAGAAAACAAAGGTGTGTCTAATCGCTGTTTGTACTTAGCAAAAAATCTTGGAACTGGGCTGTTCGCTGGGTTGTATAAATGAAATAAAATTTTTCATCGGAGCAGTTTAGAAAAGAAAAACCAAGAATTTTCTTTTAACGGAAACATGGGCTTGACGAGGGATGCTTTTCCTATGAAAAGGTAAAGGTTTCCCTGTCCAGTCGTGTCCGACTCTAGGGCCTGGTGTTCATCTCTGTTTATTGGCTGAGGGAGCCAGCGTTGTCTGAAGACAATTTCCATGTTTATGTGGCCAGCATGACTATGCACAAAAGTGCACGGAATGCTGTTGCCTTCCCACAAAAGTGGTACTTATTTATCTACTCGCGTTTGCCTGCTTTCGAACTGCTAGGTGGGCAGGAGCTGGAGCAAGGAACGGGAGCTCACCCCATCGTGCGGCGCTTGGGTCTCGAACCTGGGCTGTCAGCTCTCCATCTGACAAGCTCAGCGTCTTAAATCACTGAGCCATCACGGCCGCCCTGTTTTTCCATCTTAGTTTGAATGGCAGAACCCCCCAGGTTTCTCTGAGAGGCATCCCTGGGGTTCCACAAGACAGTTTTTGCTTACAGGTAATCCTCGACTTATGACCACAATTGGAACCAGAATCTCACTCATTGAGCAAAATGGTCATTAAGTAAGATGTCACTGCTTCATCCAATGACTGCAATCCCAGCACTTCTGGTTGCAGTTGTTAAGTGGATGGAGTTGGTGGCTGGTGGGGGGCAGCGTCCCTCCCCAACAGGCCAGTCTCGTGTGCCTCCTTGGGAAAAATTGATTCCCAACCTCTGCTCTAAATCAAATTGGAATTTACTTCCTCTGTCCCAGATAAATAAACGAGGATAGGATCTTTTCTTAGTCCTTTTGTGTCTCTAATATTGAATTTAGGCTTCACTATAAAAATATTCAAAAAAAACCCCTGTCATGTGGAACCCCAGGATGCCTCTCAGAGCACCCTGGGATTCCAGGGTAACATAGTTTGAATACTTTGGAGTTTGAGTAACGCACTGAAAATGAACTGAATTAAGTTTAACAGGGACAATCTTGACAATGTTGGACTTCCTGAGGATGCCTCTGAGTTAGCTGGGTGCCAATTTGCAGTGAATAAATGATGAATTGTGTTTAGAACCAGGCAGTGAAAATGAATTCCTGAATTCTTTTGCCTTATTTTCCTCCTGCCTGATTCCTGGGTCACAGAAAAATTATCTGAGTTCTTCCGGCTGCAGAGAAATTATGAAAAATACTGGCGGTTTAGAATGTGAACATCGCCCCCTGGTGTTCATCCTTAGAATAGCTCGATACCTCCTGAACAATATTCAAATCCAGCTAGCAGGAAGGGTTGCTAAAGAAGTAGGGGAATTGTCATTCAGGAACATCTGAAGGGCCAGCATTTCTCCATATACATATAGAAATATTTTCTACACCAGATGCCTCTCGCTTGGGAGACATAATTCAGGAGTCATCAAAGCACAACATAAATTCCAGCTGAATTTGCTGGATAGAGTAGTGTCATGTTTCTAGACCTCACCGTCTTCTGCTGACTGCCCCAATGTTACCCAGCCAGCTTTGGTTAAACCAGTGGTGAAATCCAAATTTTTTTACGACCGGTTCTGTGGGCGTGGCTTTGTGGACGTGGTATGGCTTGGTGGGCGTGGCAGGGGAAAAATACGGCAAAATCTCCATTCCCACCCTACTTCAGGGGAAGGATATTACAAAATCTGGGGCCAGCCAGAGGTGGTATTTGCCGATTCTCCGAACTGCTCAAAATTTCCGCTACCAGTTCTCCAGAACCTGCTGGATTTCACCCCGGGGTTAAACGTGTCATCGTGCTGCGCATGAACCCCCCCCCCAGTGCCCCATTTTTGGCCACGACGGCCTCCTGCAGCCATCTATCAGCAAAAATGGGGTTCGGGGGGAGCACATGCCATCCCCCTGAGCCCTATTTTTGCTGGCAGGGGGCTGCCTTGGCTGAAAATGGGGTGTGAGGGGCCCCCGGGCTCCGTTTTCACTGGCAGAGGGCTATCAAAACACAGGTGCCCCCCGCACGAATCCTGTGTCACGCCCACCATGGTCACAAACATCCCCAGGCCCTCCGAACTCAAACACAACCCTGATGTGGCCCTCAATGAAATTGAGTTTGACACCCCGGCTGTACGAAATGACCAGTGAGGGGTCAAAAATGTGATAAGTCACGAGTACCTGCGCCCCCACAAGAGATCTAAGTCCAGCCCATCATGAATTCTTTATCTACCGCCAAATTGCTTTGAACGTTAGTAGTTCAGATTCTTGTAGAGCGCTTCGGGTTGCAATAAATCTTTATACCTATTTGAATAGCCTGAATTTTCTGATTTCCCAGGCACTTGGCATAACCCACAAGAAAGGTCCTGATTCTTTGCGCCTGACATCTGAAGTCATAAACCAAGGAAATCACAACTTATAAGCCGTAGGTACTGGAGGAATTCAATTAAGCCAATATATGTTTGCCCAGATTTTGGTTTAATATACTAGTCCATTCAGATATGGTGGATTATTTAGTAAACTGTGATTAGACAAAACAATGGTATAGCATTGTTAAGGAATTTGCAGAGTAACCCTTGAATAGCAAGGGTGTGCACATGAAAGCGATTGAGAGTAGGTACGAATAAAACAGAGTCAACACACAGATACACTGAGTTGTGTTTACTTTCAGGAAATAGTAAGGCACAGTCCAATAAACAATCCAGGTCATACACATATAAAGCAGGAGATAGCAAAACGACAATCCAGGGATAATCCAATAACAAAGTCTTCTTACCAGTTGTCGTAGTCATTCACAATAAACAGTTTTTCTGGATTTGCAAACAGTAGCATACAGAGATATCAGAGAGCAAGAACAGCAAAGAGAAACAAACCATGTTTCTAGCTCCCTCTTAAGGAGATTGGCTACAGAGCTAACCAATCAGGACACAGTATGATGCAATACAGCAGTCTTAAAGCTATATTGATGGTTTATATATTGCCAACCCAACAAGGTAGGTAATACTCATTTCCTAACATTCTCCCCTTTGGGTAGGTCAATATATAACACCTTACATCCTTATAAGCCATAGGTACTGGAGGAATTCAATTAAGCCAATATATGTTTGCCCAGATTTTGGTTTAATATACTAGTCCATTCAGATATGGTGGATTATTTAGTAAATTGTGATTAGGCAAAACAATGGTATAGCACCATCAATCACATTCTGTTATAATTGAAATAACATTTAACTATTAAATTCATAACCACATAGTAGTACATGTAGACTTTGTAATTTTGGCAACTATGCATCTCTGCTCTTTTTAACATCATCCAATATAGTGTGTGGATTTGTACAACATACCTAAATCTACTTACTGTATTAATCCGTTTTCAGGATTCACATGATAGCTTAAAGCAGTGTTTTTCAAACTTGGCAACTTTAAAAAGTGAGGATTTCAACTCCTAGCGTGCTGGTTGGGGTATTCTGGGAATTGAAGTCCACACATTGTGCCAAATGTACACAAAGGAAAGTCTACACCAAGTTGCCAAGTTGAAAAAAGAAACCACTGCCTTAAATCATATATTAATCCAACGGTCTGGATTCACACATTCCACCGAACGAGAAGAAAATAACCAAATCATGCTAATTCAGTTTAGCATGTTGTACAAATACAAGAGAGATGTGGTGGCCTAGAGGTGCAGCTCTCGCCTCACAATCAGGAGGCTATGAGTTCAATCCTAGGTAGAGGCAGATATTTCCCTCTCTCTGGGCACAATGAGAATATATCTGCTGAACAGAACTCCGCATTGGCAACAGGAAGGGCATCCGGCTATTAAATGCTCTGCTAGCTCCATTCAATTGCCCGGACTCTCCCTTCAAGGGATTATGGGGTCATTAAATAATAAGGATGTTGTACGAATACAGCATCTACAAGGCAGCCGGTGAAGGGCGTTGTGGAAATACACAGGCCATTTTTATTTCACAAATCAGAGTGCCTGAAGGAAGTGATTAGGACAGACAAGAGTGCAAGATCCTTTTTAAACCAATATTCGTACGCCGATAAGGGATCCTGTAAAGCAAGCTGAAAGTCCTAGGATTTTCAAAGCAGGTTTGGGAAACCCAAAACTGGCTCTATTGACCAAATAAAAGGCTCTTAAAGATCTTAAATCAATGCTTCTCAACCGTGGCAACGTGAAGATGTGTGGACTTCAACTCCCAGAATTCCCCAGCCAGCTGGCTGGGGAATTCTGGGAGTTGAAGTCCACACATCTTCACGTTGTCACGGTTGAGAAGCACTGTCCTAGATGTTCCTTGGAAATGTTTTCTTTCAAGAATGGAACCAGTTGGGTTTGCGTTTAGAAACAAAGGCCTCAATTCCTTCCTGTCCATCCTTCAGAGCCAGGTTGTCCACCATGACTTGTGAAGCTATCTGGTAGGCCGTGCTAATATCGTGTTCCATCTGTTTGTAAAAAGTGGCCTTCCCCAGAGCTAACACAGCCCGGCTGCTTTGGCAAATCTTTTGGGCAATTTTTAGAGTCTCGCTTTCCAGCTGCTCCTCAGGTACAACTCGGCTGATGAGTCCGTGGAGAAGGGCATCCTGAGCTGTGATGGGCTGTCCGGTGAAGAGGATCTCCAGTGCCACCTGAAAGAAAAAACCTGAGCTGGAGACTTTGATGTTTGTCATCTGACTCATTTCAAGATTCTGATGCCCGTCTGATGGGCAGGTTCAAGCTAGGAAACACCACCAGACGAATATGAAGTTGGGCACGCATTGAAATTGCCAGTGGGAGCATCTTCTCCAGCTACCTCTGCTTTCAGAAGAAGCGAGCTGGCTTAAGGAGATACAGGTAGGACCAGTGGAGAAATCCATTTTTTTTTATTACCGGTACTGTGGGCATGACTTGGTGGGCGTGGTGTGGCTTGGTGGGCGTGCCAGGGGAAGGATATTGCAAAATCTCCACTCCCACCCCACTCCAAGGGAAAGTTACTGCAAAATCTCCATTCCCACCCCACTCCAGGGGAAGGATATTGCAAAATCTCCATTCCAACCCCACTCCAGGGGAAGGATATTGCAAAATCTCCATTCCCACTCCACTCTGGGGTCAGCCAGAGGTGGTATTTGCTGGTTCTCCGAACTGCTCAAAATTTCCGCTACCGGTTCTCCGAACTGCTCAAAATTTCCACTACCGGTTCTCCAGAACCTGTCAAAACCTGCTGGATTTTACCCCTGGGTAGGACCTTTCCTCTGATTTTGGAATGAGGTGGCAACTCATAGCTAATAGCAATAGCAATAGCCCTTAGACTTATATACCGCTTCACAGCCCTCTCTAAGCGGTTTACAGAGTCAGCCTATTGCCCCCCCCAACAATCTGGCTCCTCATTTTACCCACGTCGGAAGGATGGAAGGCTGAGTCAACCTTGAGCCTGGTGAGATTTGAACTGCCAAATTGCAGTCAGCCGGCAGTCAGGAGAAGTAGCCTGCAGTACTGCACTCTAACCACTGCGCCACTGTGGCTCATTTAATCTTGGCTAATTTGTAATTAGGGTCAGATCTGATTAGAACCATTGAAGGCACAACCGGGAGATTGAAAAACATCCTGTATTGTACCCAAGGTTTAAATCATGGTTATGATTTGGTATAATGGGGCGAAACCCATTTAAGGTTTTGCTGAGCAAAGGAATTTTTGTACTTGATTGTGGTCATAAGTCAACTAATGTCTGTTATGCAGTGGTGGGATTCAAATAATTTAACAACCGGTTCTCTGCCCTAATGACTGGCTGGGTGGGCGTGGCCAGGGGGTGTGACAGGCAGCACTTGGCCAACTGCAACCCCCTGGGAACAAAAACGGGCTGCAGGAGGGGGGTACCCCCTGCGTCCCATTTGGGCCTAGTAGGCCTCCCTACTAGGGAGTGGGGTGGGGAGGGGCCAGCCAGCAATTTAACAACTGGTTCGCCCGAACCGGTCCGAACCGGCTGAATCCCATCGCTGTCTGTATTTCTTCACTTCTTTTTCAAATCAACTGTGGTGGCCAACCATGGTCTTGCGGCCATAAGTTCCACAGCTCAATTTTGCCCATGTGAAGTAGGGCTTGCTTTATCCTTGCGGAACTGTTGACCCCATTCACCCCCAAAATGGAAAACGATGAAGATGGGAGCAAAACGGAAGGGCCACAAAGGACCACCGGTTGGTAACAGCGGTGAAATCCGGCTGGATCTATCCAGCTCGTGCGAGCCTGTAGGGCCGGTGGCGGGAGGCTCCGCCTACCCACCGGGACATCATCATGTCCTGTTTTTGACCCTCTGCGCACGCGCAGAAGGCTCTATGCATGTGTAGAAGAGGCGCACACGGTCACATTTCAGATCTGGTAGCGAAGGTAAGTGCTGGTTGGTAAGGTCTACCTTTTTAGGCAGAGATCTTCCAATGGCTACCGCGGGCGTTGAACAGAAGAGACCCACGTTCACTCCAGGGGTGGCGAACTTGGACTTCTCGCTGGCCACGGCAATGTCACAGCTGGCCACCAGCTGGCAACCGGCGGCTGTGGCAAGGCCATTCACTTTGGCAATCACGGGTACAGGTAGCTTTGGAAGCAACGTCATGACCTGTTCGGAAGTGTTTGAAAAAGAAAGGAAACAAGAGGCGTCCCTCTTAATGCGGGGGGTTCAGAAGAAGTGACGGTTCCACTTTACCCGACATTAGATCATATCTGGAATACAGTGTTCAGCTCTGGTCAACCCAAGTCAAAGACCCTGAAGGACTGGAAGGATTTTGGAGAAGAATGCAGAAGACGGCGAGGACCTTACACAGTGGTGGAATTCAATTTTTTTTTTACTACCGGTTCTATGGGCGTGGCTTGGTGGGCGTGGTGTGGCTTGGTGGGCAGGGCTTGGTGGGCATGGCAGGGGAAGGATACTGTAAAATCCCCATTCCCAGCCCACTCCTGGGGGAAGGATATTGCAAAATCTCCATTCCCAGCCCACTCTGGGGCCAGCCAGAGGTGGTATTTGCCGATTCTCTGAATTACACAAAATGTCCGTTATCGGTTCTCCAGAACCTGTCAGAACCTGTTGAATAGCACTCCTGGTCTTACACCACTGTTTTTCAACTTTTGGCTACTTGAAGTTGTATGGACTTCAATTCCCAGAAGCATAGCTGGGTTCTGCAGCACAGAATTCTGGGAGTTGAAGTCCACACATCTTTAAGTGGCCAAGGTTGAGAAACACTAGTTTAGGCACTAAATCCTATGAAAAGAAGATGGAAAGAATTGAGAGACTAAATGAAGATAGGGTAGCAATCTTCTGATCTTTAGAAGGGCTAACACAAAGAAGAGAGTTTAGATTTATTCTCTGTCTTGCCCTAATGGTAGGACAACAAACACTTGGTGGAGATCCCCAAACTCAAAATCAGAAGGAACTTCCGGAACATAATCTAATGAAGAGAAGGACCAGGGGAGACATGATAGCAATGTTTCAATATTTGAGGGGCTGCCACAGACAGGAAGGGGTCAAGCTATTTTCCAAGGCACCCGAAGGTCAGACAAGGAATAATGGATGGAAACTGATCAAGGAGAGATTCAACCTAGAAATAAAGAGAAATTTTCTGACAGTGGGAACAATCAACCGATGGAACAGACGTTGCCTTCGGAAGTTGTGGGAGCTTCATCACTGGAGGCTTTCAAGAAGAGATTGGACTGACATTTGTCAGAAATGGTGTAGGGTCTCCTGTTTGGGCAGGGATGTTGGACTAGATGACCTACAAGGTCCCTTCCAACTCTGATAATCTGTAAACCTGAGAGCTATGAAGCCATGGAGCAACCTTCAGGAGGTCCATCACCGAAGATCTTCAAGCAAAGGTGAGGCAGCTCTTTGTGTGGGCCGGTATCAAGATTCCAGGGTTGGACTAGAGGACCTCCAAGGTTCCTTCCATCCTTAGAAGTGCTTGAATGTAAAATCCAAAGAGTCTTTATGACTTTTCTGATTTTTCCAGACATCCATATGTATTGCACCACTTCTTAAAATACAAGAAATCATCCAAATGCTCAGGAGATGCTCAAATCCTACAAGAACCTGTTGGAAATTATATATAGCAACTGCATTCTTTTTCTGGGGCACTGCAGTGACTTTATGAATTTCTGCTGAAAATTCCCAGAGGGGGAAAAAATACACACACTCTTTTCCCTTTCAATTCTGGAATTCTGTACATTCCAGGTTACTGTTTGAAGCAAAATGTTTCATTTGGTCTATTTAGGTTTCTTATTATTATTCCAGGGCCTCTGACATTGGAGATTTTAGTAATTCAACAATGGGAGAAATGAATAAGAATTGAAGTATTAAAACGAGCAAGAGATGATGGATAGAATACAGAAATTTCTCTCTCTCTCTCTCTCTCTCTCTCTCTCTCTCTCTCTGTCTCTCTCTCTCTCTCTCTGTCTCTCTCTCTCTCTCTGTCTCTCTCTTTCTTTCTTCTAATATAATGATGGCCTGATTAAAAACTAGAAATAGAGGTAGAAATAATAATATACACCCTTATATAAAGGACTATGTCTTAACATAAATATGTGTATTAACATTAGGATTAGTAAGAGTGATCTGACTAGAAGCCAGAATAGAGGTAGAAACAAGAATTAGGGGGGAATATTAGTAGTTCTAATTTCTATATAAATTGAATATAAGTAAGAATTAGATGGAAAGATGAGAGTTTGAAAGATGATATTGCTATGTATGTTCAAGAAATCATTGACATTAGAATGGAACACTGAAATATTGAATAACTACTTTAAAATAATCAATTACATTAATATTAGGATTATATAAGTTTGATTAATGTAACAATTGACTGTTGTTATTTGTACTAACATGAACTATACCAAGAGGCCACACTGTTCATGTATTGATACTGATATATGTTTAAAAATAAAAGCACAATAAACCTTTAAAAAAAAACAATGGGGGAAACGGACAGATTTGGCTAATTAGTCCTTTAATATTACTTCGTGTGTAAAAATGTGTTCAAGGCAATGGTGAAATTCAAATTTTTTTATTACCAGTTCTGTGGGGGTGATTTGGTGGGCGTGGCAGGGGAAGGATACTGCAAAATCCCCATTCCCACCCCACTCTGGGACCAGCCAGAGTTGCATTTGCCAGTTCTCCGAACTACTCAAAATTTCCACTACCGGTTCTCCAGAACCTGCTGGATTTCACCCCTGGATCAAGGGTCATGCTGTTGCATGCAGTGATACATCAGGAATCTTGGAGTTGTGGACTTCAAATTCTGAGAGTTGAAGTCCACAAGTCTTAAAGTTGCCAAGTTTGGACACCCCTGATTTAAAGTTAACATTTTGGCAGACAATGAGAGAGAGAAGTCAGCCAATTATAAAAAGAGAGAACATTTTCACAGGATTGACCAAATCAAGGTAGAAACTCACCTCTGAACAGGTTTTAAAGATGTCCATGTGCTGTTTTGGGTCTTCCTTCGGACTCAGTTCCTTCAAGTCATGTCCAGAGGAGAACACAGGACCTTCAGCTTCAGGGAAGTTTGGAAAAAGAAGGAGATATTTGCACAAGATGCCACAATGACTTAGCTCACACAACACACTGAACTTACTAGAACATGCTTAACCATGTTCTACAGCAGGAGTCTCCAACCTTGGCAACTTTTAAGACTTGTGGACTTCAACTCCCAGAATTCCTCAGCCAGCAAAGCAAAGCTGGCTGAGGAATTCTGGGAGTCTCCGCTTCAGACAAATGATAGTTAGACGCAGAGGTGGGATTCAGTCGGGCGAACCTGTAGTGGCGACTGTGGGAGGCTCCGCCCACCCGCCCGGATGTAATGTGTGAATGCTGCGCGTGCACGGAAGACCGTGTGCATGCACAGAGGAGGCACGTGTGAGCGAAGTGCGCTCACAATTGCGAACTGGTAGGGAAGGTAAGTGAAGACGCAAATGATTGAGAAGAAGCCTCTGCCAAATTCCGTCTTCATTCATTTTCGATCGCGAATGAACAACCTACCTGAAATGATAATGATGCGCAGATCGGGGCTGTCAATATCCTGCAAAATATCCTGACGGAGGGACTTCAGCATGGAGAGGGAAAGCGCATTCCTTTTCCCAGGGTTGCTCAGGACAATATTCCTGTAAAGAAAAAAAAAATGTTTGTAAGCTGTCATGGAAAGCAACTTAGTAGGATTGAGAATCTGTAGAGATTCTCTACATCCGTGATGGCGAACCTATGGCACGCGTGCCCAAAGTGGCATATGGAGCCATGTCTCCTGGCACATGCAGCGTTGCCCGTTCCTCTTCCAGGTTTCTGGCACGCACGTGCGTGTGATGATCAGCTGGCCTTTTTGCACGCGGCAGTGCCGGAAACTAGAAGAGCTGGTCTTCTGTTTTCCTGTGTGAGCATGCGTGCCGGACAGCAGATCGTCACGTGCGCATCTGTGCCAGAAACCCGGAAGAGTATCTGGCTGAAACCGGAAGTTCAGTAGCTGAAACCGGAAGTTCATTTCCGGGTGTGCGCATGCACCCTGGGCAGCTCCCTCTTCCAGGTTGCAGCCCCAACAAGTGTGTGCGTGTGCTCTTTTTGGCACTTGGTGCCGAAAAGGTTCACCATCACTGCTCTACAAGGTCATCTAGGTCATGGTTGTCCCAAAGGTTCTTTTTCAGGAGGCAACTGGACTTTCTTGTTTTTTCTTTTTTGAAGACGTTTCGCTTCTCATCCAAGAAGCTTCTTCAGCTCTGACAGGATAGTGGGGGATGGAAGGATTTATATTCCCACCCCCCCAAAGCCCCTTCATTACATCATCACCTAGCAAGGCTCAACCAAGCCTGGGACGCAGACAACCTACAAAGTTACCCCTGCATGGCCCCATGGGAGTCTGACAACCAATCAGAATACAAGCTCAAATTCAAAAGCCCAGAGAGGGTATAAAACCCAGGCACTCTCAGCATCTCTTCCCTTTTTTTGCCCAGGCCTTCAAACCATGTGGTCCTGTTCACCATTAAAAACCATCTTTCCAATCAGCCACCATGTTTCCAGTGTCTTTTTCCCCACTTGGAACTGAACCCAAATGGACATTTCTTCCAACAGAAGGAAGGAAGGAAGGAAGGAAGGAAGGAAGGAAGGAAGGAAGGAAGGAAGGAAGGAAGGGATTATAATGTGAGGGAGGGTCTCAGGGATGTCCTGCCTTAGCACTTGGCCACCACAGGTGCCCCCGACATGAGTCCTGTGTCACGCCCACCACATCCGCCATGGCCACGCCCTCCGAGGTCAAACACAAACCTGATGTGGCCCTCAATGAAATCAAATTTGACACCCTTGGTCTATATAAGGCAAGAAAGCACTTTAGAGAAGAGCAATCTGGTTCCTTGACTGAATAACTCATAATTGCTCTTGTATTTGCTGTTCACTGATTGAGATCAGAAGTGGTACTCAGCCGGTTCAGACAAGTTGACCCGAACCGGTAGCGGAAGTCACAGGTGGGCTCACCCGTCCGCCCTGGCTCTATGCCGTCCTATTTAGGCACATTTTTGAGGCCGGGCGCATGAGCGGAAGGCATGCGCGCCAGCAAAGCACATGCGTGGAAGGCCGGGTACATACATGGATGTGGACGCGCACACATTCACATTTGCGAACCGGTAGGGAAAGTAAGTGAATACCACACCTGACTGAGATCAAATATATTTCCAAACTGAGAATGTGTTTCTGAATGAGAGGGAGGCCTGGGAAGTGAATTTGCAAGACATGGTTTGCAAATGGATTTTGCAAAGTGGATTTTCTGATTTTTGAGGCCATCTCAAAAGATATTCCCAGATAATAAACTAGGGCAGAAATTGGGCTCCCTTCTGAATCACTTTTTCAACTGTTTCCTCCGGTCTAAATTTAATCCACTATTAATTCATCCCCTTTTTCTGCTTCCTTCCCTTTGCCCAGTTCAGTTCACTCAAGTTATTTAGAAACTGATCGTTATCTTAACATTTCCAAAAAAGGAATTTCTTGTTTATACACTATTAGTTATTAATTAATTGTGCCTGGGGGAGAGGCTGTTTTTGAAAAAAAAAAAAAAGCTGCTTGCTAAATTTGCAGTTGGTAAACTTGACCTTATGGGAAAAACTGGAGGCGTTTAAGGATGTTATGCGATTCCATTCCAAATACTTAGTTAATGGTTTGATGGTTTGTATTGACTCAGATACTGTAACAAATATAATTCAGTACAGGTAGTCCTTGACTTATGACCCATTCATTTACAAATAGACTTTATGGCTATTCAAAGTTTCAAGTGCTGAAAAAAAAATGACTTATGACCAGTCCTTGCACTTACGACGCCCCTATGGTCGAATGATTAAAATTTGGGCATTTGACAATTGGCATGTACTTATGACGATTATAACTGGGCTCATCCGTCAAGGAGTACCCATAACTGGGTTATGGAGCTTGTACATAAAATGCATTTATTAGTGTGGATTTTGTGGGCTGCCACCTGAATTCTACTTGGATCAGCCATGGGTGAATTTGCACAATGTTGTAGTTTACTACGCAGTGTAAACCCAGTCATTACAGCACGTGTCAAAGATGCATTGGTTTAAAACAGGTGTAGGCAACTAAGACAGCAATGAACTTCAACTCCCAGAATTCCATGCTGGCTCTGGAATTCTGGGAGCTGAAGTCCACAGGTCATAAAAATTGGCATTAGTTTGCCCATTCCTTTTTTAAAAGGTGCTATCAGGTTGTGCTGTGTGTGCCAGAATGCTTCTGGCCCTCCCTTGGGTAGGAAAGCCCGCTGGGTGATTTTGGGTCAGTCCTTATCTCAGCCTAACCCACCTCACAGGGTTGTTGTGGGGGAACAGGAAGGGAAAACATAGTGTACACCTTGAGTTGTACCCAAAAATGATGATCTCATAATTATAATTCCTCTTTCAGATCTAGACAAGCTATGGTCAGTCAATCACAGCAACATTCAAGAATTACGCAAAGGTTATTGTCCCTGTAACACCATCATTTATAGCTATACTCGCTTTATTCTCTGAATATAATTGATTTATCAATTGTCTTAAATTTTTTCCAAAACCTAACTTCTCTGTTAGTATCTTCAATGTAGGCTATTCCACACAATCAAACGCCCTAAATACATTTAATGCTAATACCCCTGCCTTCAATTTTTGTTTCTTTATATAACAACCTATGTTTAATACCCTTCTTACTACATCTGACATTTGTTGACCTCTTATAAAGGCACACTGGTCATTTTTAATATAATTCTCTATAAATATATTCAATATTCAAGGAGCCTTGGTAGTACAGTGGTTTAAAGCACCCTGTTATTAAGACCAGCTGCCTGCAATTACTGCAGGTTCGAATCTCGCCAGGCTCAAGGTCGACTCAGCCTTCCATCCTTTCTAAGGTAGGTAAATTGAGGACCCAGTTTGTGGGGGCAATAAGCTGACTTTGTATAAAAATATACAAAAGGATGAAGGCTATTGCTTAGCACATTGTAAGCCGCCCTGAGTCTCCGGAGAAGGAGATATAAATATAAATCAAATTAAAAAAAAAAAATCTATTTGCCAACATTGCTGTAGAAATCTTAGCGTCTTGATTAATAAGGGAGATTAGTCTATATCCGTGATGGCAAACCTGTGGCACACGGAGCCATATCTGTGGGCTCACGAGCGCATGTGCATGCTGGCCAGCTGATTTTCAGGCCTTCTAGGCCCACCGGAAGTCGGAAAACGGGCTGTTTCTGGGCCTCTGGTGGGGGGTGGGGAAGGCCATTTTCGCCCTCCCCAGGCTTCTAGGAAGCCTCTGGAGCCTGGGGAGGGCAAAAAATGGGCCTACCAGGCCCACCATGTCATCACGTGCCAAAAGCGGGGGGAAAGTGGGGGGGGTCACACATGCATGCGTGGGGGGACGGGGCACATTGAATTATGGGTGTGGGCACATACGCGCGCAATCCCCCCCCTCCGCCCGCTTTTGGCACGCGACGGCAAAAAGGTTAGCCATCACTGATCTATATGATCCTGGGTTTGTATGATCTTTACTATCAGCATTATCAGAAATTTGAAATTTGGAGTATGGCAACAAATGATAAATTAACAACAGAAATCAAATTTTAAAAAGGGATGATCATATAAATCAATTACAATTGATTTATGAACAATTACAATGAAATATGAGGGGATTTTATAAAATCAGTGTTGGTGGAAGGCAAAGGGAATAAACCTATTCAAGAATATATGTTGTTTTGGAGGGGATAAGGGCACTTTTTTTTTTTAAATTTGATTTATATGCCGCCCTTCTCCGGAGACTCAGGGCGGCTTACAGTGCGTTAAGCAATAGCCTTCATACTTTTGTATATTTATACAAAGTCAGCTTATTGCCCCCACAAACTGGGTCTTCAATTTGAATATATTGTATATCTTTTAGCTGTTATAGAAGAAGAAGAAATATAAGGGGGGTGAACTGTATTATTTGTAATTTTTTTCCTTTTTGGTATTTAGATATATATATATGGTTTGCATTACTTGTATTTAAAAAATAAAAAAAAATTAAGAAAAAAACCAATTATGCATAGACAAACTCTGTTTCATTTGCAAATAGTATGCCAAGCCCTCTCCTGATTCCGGATTGCGTCCTGTTGCAAGACCTTGGACCCAGTGAGTAAGGCAATGTTACTCACCATCAGGGGGAAAAAAGGAAAAAAAAAAGGCATTGCAAGCGTTTTCTCTTTAAAGGAAGCCTGGCTTTAAAGCCGACTGAGGAATTCTGGGATTTGAAGTCCACGCCTCCTTAAAGTGGCCGACTTTTGAAAAAAACAACGCTTTTAAAACTTTTGTCGGGGAAGCAAGAGACAAAAAAAACCCGATCATCGCTTCTATAGCCGAACAGGTGCTCCGCTCTTGCGCTTGTGCCCCGCAAAGGCAGCCCAGCTGGGACATCCCAGCTTAGAACGCGACAGCAGCTGGGACCCTCGCCCCCCCACGCCCACCGGTTGGTGTGCTTTCACGCATCTGCGGATTCACACGCCGTCTCCTCCACCCGCTTCACCCCATCCCAGACACACGCTGGTGATGGAGATCCTCCAGGTTTGCAACCCGTAGTTGCAAAACCCAATTCTGAGAGCGTATGCACCAAGACAAATTCCTTGTGTGTCCAATCACACTTGGCCGATAAAGAATTCTATTCTATTCTATTCTATTTCTATTCTATTCTATTTCTATTCTATTCTTATTCTATAATCCTTTCCTTTCCTTTCCTTTCCTTTTTCTATCCTGAATTCTATTCTATCCTATCCTATCCTATCCTATCCTATCCTATCCTATCCTATCCTATCCTATCCTAATCATTCTATTCTTATTCTATTCTATTCTATAATCCTATCCTATCCTATCCTATCCTAATCATTCTATTCTTATTCTATTCTATTCTTATTCTATTCTATAATCCTATCCTATCATCCTATCCTATCCTATCCTGAATTCTATTCTATTCTATTATCCTATCCTATCCTAATCATGCTGTTATTATTCTATTCTATTATTATTCTATTTATTATTATTCTATTCTATAATCCTATCCTATCCTATCCTAATCATTCTATTCTATTCTTATTCTATTCTATAATCCTATCCTATCATCCTATCCTATCCTATCCTGAATTCTATTCTATTCTATTATCCTATCCTATCCTAATCATGCTATTATTATTCTATTCTATTATTATTCTATTCTATTATTATTCTATTCTATAATCCTATCCTATCCTATCCTATCCTATCCTAATCATTCTATTCTATTCTATTCTTATTCTATTCTATAATCCTATCCTATCATCCTATCCTAAATTCTATTCTATTCTATTATCCTATCCTATCCTAATCATTCTATTATTCTATTCTATTATTATTCTATTCTATAATCCTATCCTATCCTATCCTATCCTATCCTAATCATTCATTCTATTCTATTCTATTCTATTCTATTCTATTCTATTCTATTCTATAATCCTATCCTTTCCTTTCTTTCCTATCCTATCCTGAATTCAATTCAATTCAATTCAATTCAATTCAATTCTATTCTATTCTATTCTATTCTATCCTCACCATTCCATTATTATTCTATTCCAACCCGGAACCTCCCGGGCTTTGCCTTCTCTGCCCAACCTGATGCCTTCGCTCTGCCACACGCGGGTGAGCTTCCCTCGCTGCTCCTGCTGGCGCTGCCCATCGGGCGTTGGGGCTGCGGGGTTGCCGGTCGAAGCCGTCCGGCTGCCCAGGACGAGCCGCGCCACCTTCGCCCCGCAAAGCCCCCCTCGGACGGCTGCAGCGGCCATGGCTCTTCGCAGCGGCGCAGAGCCGGAGCGGCTCAAGGGGGACCCCTGCCGGCCAGACGCGGAGGAGCCGCCCTGCTGGCAGGGTTCGCCCCCGCCCGCGCGGGAAAAAAAAACTCGCGCGGGGTTTGTTCTTATTGCAGGGTTTGGTGGTCTCGTTGGGTGATTCCTGCCTTGCTAGCCGTGGTTGCAAGGCGAGCTTGTGTTGAGGGACCCGGATCCGATCCTCGGGCAGAAGGGGGCGCGTGTCGTGTGAGCCGAGTCAACAGAGGCGTGCTTCTTAGCAAACTTGCGCGGTTTCGCATCACGCGTGGAAGAATGAGCCACGCACTTTAAAAGACCAAGGATTCCCAGGACACGCCAGAGATAAGAGCTTGGATACCTTTAAAAACCCCACCTTTATGATTATAAATGACTTCAGACGGTGTGTCCCTGCTTACCCACGCACCCAATATTCCTCCTTCCAATTTGTCTCTTCCACAACAACCTTGTGAGGTGGGTCGCATTGAGAGAGGGAGAGGGACTCTGGCCCAAGGTCATCCAGGCGGCTTTCATGGCTAAGGCAAAAGTAGAAATCACAGCCTCCTGTGGTTTCCAGCCTGGTGCCTTAACCACCAAACCAAATTCTGCTCAATTAATAATTTTATTTATTTATTTATTTATTTATTTATTTATTTATTTATTTATTTATTTATTTATTTATTTATTTATTTATTTATTTATTTATTTATTTATTTATTTATTTATTTATTTATTTTTATTATTTTATTTTATTTTATTTTATTTTATTTTATTTTATTTTTTAATTTGATTTATATGCCGCCCTTCTCCGGAGACTCAGGGTGTCTTACAATGCTTTTAAGCAAGAGCCTTCATCTTTTTGTATATTTATACAAAGTCAGCTTATTGCCCCCACAACTGGGTCCTCAATTTACCTACCTTAGAAAAGATGGAAGGCTGAGTCAACCTTGAGCCTGGTGAGATTCGAACCTGCAGTAATTGCAGGCAGCTGGTCTTAATAACCAGCTTAATAACAGGGTGCCTTAGACCACTACTACCAAGGCTAGCTAGCTATTTATTTATTTAGTTAGTTAGTTACTTACTTACTTACTTACTTAGTTTGATTTATATGCCGGCCTTCTCCGGAGATTCAGGGCGGTTTACAATGCTTTTAAGCAATAGCCTTCATACTTTTGTATATACCTGCTTAGTAGGGCTTTCGGCCCCCCCTAAGCGGTGTTCTTTTTTTATACAAGTCAACTTATTGCCCCCACAATCCGGGTCCTCATTTTACCTACCTCGGAAGGATGGAAGGCTGAGTCAACCTTGAGCCTGGTGAGAATTGAACTCGCAGTAATTGCAGGCAGCTGGCAACTAAGTGCTACTTTAACAGTAGTTTAGGCCACTGTACCACCAGGCTCCTAAAAATAATCATTTTACTCAGTTTAATCAAGCTATCAAATTCAGATGAATTCAAATGAAAGGGGGAGGGAGGAAAGAAGAGGAAAAAAGTGTAAGGTAAAGAGGAAAAAAGAAAAATGTTGACTTCCAACTCTTTTTATCGCCATAGAATAAATAAGATAATAACAGAATAGCCTCAGCTTTTTACTTTTACATATTAAAATGTGCTAGCAATTTCTATAACAACAAACTGATCCAATCAAAAAAACCCGAAGTCAGAGTTTCATTTCCCCCCCCATCTGAAGCACAAAATTCAGAATTGGTTTCCAAGCAGAAACAAAGTTGGATATGTTCTTTTCTTTGATTAAAGGCAGCAAATTTAGTCACCTCTGCTAGTTTTCCATCAGTTTTCCCAGCCAATTTATTAGCCATTGTGGGAATTAAATGTACATAAAGCATTCTTGCTGCTGTCAACACCTATAAGCCCGGCTAGGTGGCTCAGTGGCTAAGATGCTGAGCTTGCCGATCGGAAAGGTCGGTAGTTCAGCAGTTCGAATCCCTAGTGTAGGTCTCCTGCGTGAGCAGGGGGTTGGACTAAATGACCTCCAAGGTCCCTTCCAACTCTGTTACTGTTATAAAGAGCAAAGTCCCTTTGTTGTTGTTGTTAAGGATATTGTTGTTGTGTTACCAACCAGCAGAGTGTAGAGCACAGAGAAATGTTGCCGAGAGCTATGAATAAGAGATGTGCAAACTGGTTTATCAAAAGTTTACTTTATAGTGAAAAAACAATCTCATAGTCTTTAAACAAATCCAAGTCTTTGCCAGTTAAATCAGTCCAGTGATACAAAAAGCTTCTTATCACACAAACAGTAGTTGGTTAGAATAACAAACTCACTCTGGTTCACAAACCACGATGGTAGCAGATCCATCAAACTGATGATTAGCAGAATGTTAGCAACTCCCCACTATGGCAGCATATCATATCAGCTCCATACACAATGGCAGCATATCATAGCAGCTTCATCATCAAACTGAATACGTTACAATACCTTGCTTAAATACTCTCACAACCAGTCATTACCTAATTACAGCATGACTCAGCATTACAATGAATCAACAAGAAAACCTTTAAAGTATTTAAAACCTTTAAATACGGTCACTCATGCTCTCGTTACTTCCAGCCTGGACTACTGCAATGCTCTCTACATGGGGCTCCCCTTGAGGAGCACCCGGAGGCTCCAGCTGGTCCAGAATGCGGCCGCGCGGGTGGTTATGGGAGTGACGTGGCGCTCCCATGTGACCCCCCCTCCTGCGCGAGCTGCACTGGCTCCCGGTGGTCTTCCGGGTGCGTTTCAAGGTTTTGGTTACCACCTTTAAAGCGCTCCATGGCATCGGACCGGGGTATTTACGAGACCGCCTTCTGCTTCACCGACCAGTACGCTCCCATAGGGAGGGGCTCCTCAGGGTGCCGTCGGCCAAACAGTGTCGACTGGCGGCCCCCAGGGGGAGAGCCTTCTCTGTGGGGGCACCTACCATCTGGAACGAGCTCCCCACAGAGATACAGAGGATCCCGGACCTGCGCACGTTTCGTCGTGCTCTCAAAACTTTTTTATTTCAGCAGGCTGGCCTGGCCTAACCTATTTTAAATTTTTAATTCGTGATTTTATAAATTGGGTGTTTTAATCTGTTTCGGCCAAAATATTTAATAATTTTAAGGGATTTTTTAATATTTGTATTAGCTGTATTTTATCTTGGCTGTTCACCGCCCTGAGTCCTTCGGGAGTAGGGCGGTATAGAAATTTGATTAATAAATAATAAATAAATAAATAAATAAAGTAACATAATATATTTACAGATTAAAGTTACAGTACACTTATATTGCCTGGACAACTTGTTAAGGTCAAACCATATACTAACATTTTTCAAGTTCTTTCTCCGCTAAGCCTAAAAGAAAAGTCTCTTTACAGGTAGTCCTCAACTTACAACAGTTCATTTAGTGACTGTTCAAAGTTACAACGGCATTGAAAAAAGTGACTTATGACCGCTTTTCACACTCATCACCTCTGCAGCATCCCCATGGTCACATCAAAATTCAGATGCTTGGCAACTGGCTCAGATTTATGACGGTTGCACTGTCCTGGGGTTACGTGATCATCTTTTGGGACCTTCTGACAAGCAAAGTCAATGGGGAAGCCGGATTCACTTAACAACCGGGTTACTAACCTAACAACTGCAGTGATTCACTTAACAGCGGTGGCCAAAAAGGTCGTAAAATGGAACCAAGCTCACTTAACCAATGTGTCACTTAGCAACATAAATTTTGGGCTGAGTTATGGTTGTAAGTTGAGGGTTATTTTTTATATTCACTTTAAGAATCTTAAATATGAATCTTACCCCAGTATTTCTACCAACAGACCAAACTCATAGCCACTCTGTAAGTGTGAGGGACGGTGTCCAGATTTGATATATAAACATTACAGAATGACAGAGTTGGAAGGGAGCTTGGAGGTCTTCTAGTCCAACCCCCTGCCTAGGCAGGAAACCCTACACCACTTCAGACAAATCGTTATCCGATATCTTCATAAAAACTCCCAGTGTTGGAGCATTCACAACTTCTGGAGGCAAGTTGTTCCACTGATTATTTGTTCTAACTGTCAGGAAATTTCTCCTTAGTTCTAAGTTGCTTCTCTCCTTGATTAGTTTCCACCCATTGCTTCTTGTCCTGCCGTCAGGTGCTTTGGATTTAAATATAAATTTGGATATAAATAAATATTTTATTTAGCGTTTTAATAAATAAATATTATTTACTCATCCTCCCAGAGTCACTTTGGGTAGGGAGATGGGCAGCATATGAATTTAATAAATGAATGAATGAATAAATAAATAAATAAATAAATAAATAATATGTCAATCGTGGTTTGCCATCGCCTTCTTCTGGAATGTGGTCTTAGTTTCCCAAGAGAGGGTGCCAGAAGTTTTGGCCAGAGGTGTATTGTTTTCTTTCGGTTATACAGGTTTAGCTGCCTTACTGACTCACCGATCCATAGAGGTCAGAGGAGTTTCTGTTTCCCTTCCTGTTTTCGTGCCCTTGTTCTGTTCTAATGCAGAGGAGACCCCAGCAATTTCATAGCAATGGCAAAGAAATAAGACTTTATTCAGTGGATTCTTTCCCTATGAGAGGGGCGAGTAGAAACTCCATTTCCACTCTTGAAAATGCTTCCCTCACTCTGGGGGTCCCCTTACTGAATCTGGGAGCTGCTCATTGTCAGTCACTCCAAATTCCAGTTGCTTTGAAATCTGTTAGCCCTACCTACTAGATCTTTTGGTTTGCATTCACACATGCGTCACTCAACCACTGTTAAGAGTGTCTGGCTCTGTGTAAGTGCGCTTTCTCTTCCAGATTGAAAATTGCAAGCGTGATGTAGAAACTTAGCAGAGAAATTGCCTTTCTCTGGGGCCGGAATGGGCCAACTTGCTGCAGCCAACTGTAGTGTAGGAAGTTAGCACCCACCCCTTTCCTAGAAGAATGAAATATTTTGGGAAATATTAAAAAGGCAGAATATTATGTTCCCCTGGATGAGAAATGGAGAAGCATGTTTTAAAGA